CTCAGTCAGATAAAAATAACAATTGAATAACCATCAAAAAGTAAAAGCAAATAGACAAAAATCATAATAATAGTAATAATAATAATACCATATAATCACATAGGAATGGTAACCACAAAAAGAAAAAAAAGAATAAAAAGTGCAATATGTGGGGATAGGGAAATAAGGGAGAAAAGATAGAGAAAGAGAATAATGAAAAAATAAAATTGGAAAAATGCAAAAAGAAAAAGAAGGAATGGGGTTAACCATGAGAAAGAAAAAAAAAATTGGAATCAGAAACAGGGAAAGGAAAAAATGCTGAAAACTAGAACCTGGGAGGGGCATAATAAAGACTAATAGTAAAAAGGACAAAAGTAATAATAATAGTAGTAGTTTTAAAACAGATGAAAACAAACTAAAAAAGAAAAAATAAATTGGGGCAGGGCACCCAGCCTCCATCCGAGCAGCCAGACTGGGATGGAATTCTTGCCAGCCCAGAAGGTGGGTGGGACTGAGGGATGGCCACACGTCCATTCACCAGGAGGGTGTGTGGTATAAGAGTAACAAGGCAAATGTTGCACCTTTCCAGGTGTCGGCATCTGGAATGTCCTTGTGGTTCCTGGCAAGTGAAGCCTATTCTCAACTCCCTGGAATCTGGGAGAATGCTGTCACTTTAAATATCCACAATGGTCAAAGTGCTTATAAACATTCAAAATGGCTGCACCCTCTGGATAGGCAAAAATCCACAGCTCAGCTTGCCTTCCTCTTTGCTGCTTCCCTTTATTCCTCAGCCACCAGAGCAGTCCTCTATTCCCCAGCCACCAGAGCAGTCCTCTGTGCAGTCCCTGGCTAGCAGGGCTGATTTTTAGGTTAATCCCTAGGTCCTACCACCACTTGGCAATATCCAAGCTGTCTATGCCACCAGGATCACTGCCAGACCGCAGCTCTCTGTGTCTCCTTTTTGGTGTTTTCATGCAAATTCTTCTGCTATTTGGAGTTTCTATATCCTTCCCTTCAAAGCTCAGAGGTCCAGGAGTATCTTCTGTATTTGTGTTAATTGGGCCCCCTTTTCTTTGTTGAAGAGGGTCTGTGCTGTTTTTCTGTCTATTACGCCATCTTACCAGAACTCTATAATCAGGTTTTTGCTAAGATGGAAGTGACAGGAGCATGGCATCATTGCGAAGGGCCCAGGGCCACCCAGCTAGGCCAGGGTGCACATCTGGCCCTGTAGTTCTTGCAGGCACCTGCCTAAGTCTGAGCCATGGAGTACCTGAGAAATATCCAATGTGTTCTATCTCATAGAGGAGGGGAAACAAGGAAAGGAATCACTTTTCTGAATTCTTTTGTAACCAATAAGGGTGGTGATTCCTCTTTGGAAGAGGTGGGATTTTTATTTTATGATTGGTAAGGAAACTTAGGGATTTATGTGTTCTTTTTCAAACTAAGGAAAACAAATATCAAAATATTTAGAACCCACTGAAACTAACTCTGAAAAGGAATATGGCTGATGAGAGCTGGTTAAGGAAGTCTCAGAAATGAAGTTCTGGCTGCATAGTAGTGAGAGACCCAGGAGGCTTGCTGACTCTCCTGAGCCCAGCCAGAAGGGTGGAGGGGCATGCCAGAGAGGCCACAGAGTGAGAGGACACAGAGCAGGACCACTTGGAATCTGTAGATTGGGAACAGTCCTGACCACAAAAATCACTTGTTTGCCTGATTCAAAATGGCAAGAGACAGAGGTTGTGTTGGCCACTGTCTGGGAAGGGCAGTACAATGCTAGTAAAAGGTGGGAAAAATCAGCAAGTTGACTCCTTAGAGAGACGGCCCCACCTCTATGAGGGTGGGGTTATTCAGGCAGGAGGGCAAGGCCATCTGAGAAGCAAGGCTTCCAGCTTTGAGGGTCAGTGACTGCAGACATGACCCACAGAGGAGGGCAAGAGGCCAGGATTATCAAGCTGCTTGTATAACCCCCAGCACAGTATTCTACCATAAAGTTCAATTTGCCTAACAAGATGACAAATTAGCACAGAAATTCTATGGCATTGAGCATGCAACATGCTGTGAGGTATAGGAGTATTTCCAGATGACAATGCAGGAAATAATCACAATTTCATTTTCAATGGGCATGCCAGCCATCAGAGTCCTGTAACTAGACTTCAGCAACATTTGCAAATCATCTGGGATGCCTCAAGGAAGCCATAAAACATGGACAGTACATACAATTGTTGCATCTCTGGTGCTGACTAGGAAGGTGCATCCGTGGGAAAACCAGTGCAGCCCTCACCTTGTCTGAGTGGACATACTGTTCAAGGGTGTGGGCAGATGAGCTCATTGATCCAACAGCACACTCCTGTCAAACATCTGGACATGGACTCAATAGAACATGGCCCTTCTGTCACAGAGCCACGACCCAGTGGAGAGGTGAACATGGCAAGTGACCACACAAGGGGAAACCACAACTGTGCCCATTTTCACCAGAGAGTGAGCTTAATGAGATCCTGTCTGTTTGAGGCCTTGAGGTAGTCTGAGCTAAGGTCTGGGAATGGAGAAGACAGAGGAAGGCGACCCAAGCTAAAGCCAAGATGTGCAGTAGTCTCCCTCCATTTGAGAGTTAAACAAAATGCTGGTGGTGGCTTCCGGGAGAAGGGCTCTCGGGCTCTCTTTGGCTGTGGCTGTGCCTAGCACTGCCAAGTGTGGATGCCACAGATAATGTGGCTTTCTGACAAAGTGTTTGGAGGCAGAGGGAATGCTCAGCCATAGCTGGCCTTTAGAAGGGTTGGCAAACCACAGAGCTATGTTAGGAGGGAGAGAGTTCTAAGCATGAGAAGACAAGGACACATGACTAGATTCCAGGGCAGAGGGGCTGAGATTCTCCATGCCCCTGGCTGCCTCTTGATGCCCTCTACCTAGGGGTCACACTGTGATGGGAAAAGATATCCCCTCCCCAAGGCCACATCTGCCAAGGAGTGAGTGAGTGGTGGCAGGTCCCAGGGAGCTGAGCATGGGCTTCCCAGATACATATCTGGACTCAGAGAGAGGCTCCCTGTGGACAGAGCCTGTCTGTTCCAGGTAAAGTGCCCTATGCAGAGACCCTAGCAGGAAGAGACATTTAGGCAGTGGTAGCATGGGTGCAGGCCCAGGCTCAGAAGGAGATGAAGGGACCTCCATCTGGTGACTGTGGGGACAGGGACACGGCCTCATGCTGGAGAGTCAGGGGAGCAGCAAGGAGGGGCAAGGAAGTGGTCCTAGGCAGCAGGATATGGGGTGGTGCAGCAAGGAGCAGGACAGTTTGGAGAGCTGTGGCCTAGTCTTTCACTGACATCTGAAAGGGGTTTAGGCCCAGCCCCTTCTGATCCCCACAAACCTCAAGAATCCATCCTTTTATTGGGCTTCTGATGTCTGAGGTTTCCCAGGGAACGAACATGGATGTTGTTTCTAATGCAGAGGACTAACGATTTCCAGATGTGGCCAAAAGGGGGTGGGAATTGTTTGGGGAAGAGGTTTGGTCCTGTCTCCCAGTGCATCTAACAGTTGTGATTCTCCTAGGCAATTCCTTTGATTCCAGCTGGCTCTCAGTCACTCCACTCCCTATACCTCTGTGCCCCCAGTCTCCAGTGTGTTCAGGAATAAGGCCCCACCACCACCCTCAACTAGTACCCAGAGGGACTGGACTTGTATAGTACTATCATCCTACAGAGTAGAGCTGCCCTAGGAGCAACCAGGCTGAGAGTAGCCTGGGTCCTGAGAGGCCTATGCCTGCTCTAAGGGCACCCATGGTGAAGATAGAAAGAGAGCACTTAGATGGGTGGGGTGCAGGCTTAGAGCCCCCAGCACAGCCAGGATGCTGCTTGCTGGGAGCACCAAGTGTGCCCACATGGTTATTGCCTCAGGCCTGCCCACCAGGAACTGTTCAGACCCCCTGTGCTCTAGAGCTCTGCTGTCCACACAGTAGCACGTGTGACCATTGGCTACAGCATTGACAGTGGTGCTCAAGGGTGCAGCCCAAAGACCCTCAGCATATGATCCACTCTTCACACTCCTGGCTCTGCCCCTGTCCCCACCCAGCCTTGATTTCCCCTGCTTTCCTCTCCTCCTCTGCCCTCCCTTCCTCCCCTGCCTACTCAGTCTTGGCCTCCCTCCAGAGGGCAATCATGGGCCTGAGGAGGGGCTTTACGAAAAGGGTGTGTTTTCTCTCTGTGGCCTTTTCCTGCCCCTGCTCTGCTTCCTCAAGGAGCTCTGGTGATGTAGTGGTCAAAGCATTGGACTTCTAACCAAAAGGTCAGCAGTTTGAACCCATCAGCCAGCCCCACCATGGGAGAAAGATGAGGGAGTATGCTTCTGTAAAGATTATAGTCTTGGAAAACCTATGGTTCTACTCTGCCCTGCAGGATACTGTGAGTCAGAATTGACTCAGTGGCAGTGGGTTTGAGTGGATCCTACCTCCTCACCAGACTCAGCCAGGGTCAGGCATCGGAGGGGACTTGCTTGGCTTTGGGGTGGCTCCAGGCTTGGCCTTTTGCTGACTTTTAGGGGTGAAAAAAGCATCCCATGGCTCCTTCCTGGCTAGTTGTCCACTCTCCCTTTATTCCAAACCTACTCTTCCATATGGCCCCCAGACAGCCTGGGGACTTCACCACAAGTCCCACACTACACTGCTGGCTCCCATGGGCTCCTAAGGCCCAGCCCGTAGTGCTTCCAGGGGAAACACACAATGTTCTCCCCATTCCCCCTCTCCATTATCCTCCCTACTCCCCACCCATCTGGATAGAAAAGCAGGCAAGGCTTCTCACCTGACCACCAGATGTTGGACAAGAAAGGCCTGGATCTACCATCACCCCAGGGGTTTCCTCTCTGGATCTCAGATACCCCTCTCAGAAAAAAAGGTTCTGGCCCATCACTGTCCATATCCTTCTCCCACCTGAGCCCTCCTCTTGCTGCTGCTCCTCCTCCCTTAGTCCCCTAGGCCTCCAACACCCCATTGGCTGCCATCAGTGCATGAAACTAACTGGCTCTGGTGTTTGCAGTCACTGCATCCAGCAGATCCTGGAGGCGGTTCTCCATTGCCACCAAATGGGGGTCGTCCACAGAGACCTCAAGGTGAGTGTCCTCCCCACCTCTGCTTGTCCGTCTGTCATTTGCATGTCAGTATAAAGGAGGCCTGGTTGAAGCAGGGCAGGCAGGTTCTTGCTCCAGCAGCACAGCCGTGGTGCACCTCATGCGTACGTGCCACCTTGGCCTCGGGTCTTTCTGGGCACTCACAGGCAGTCCCTCAAAAATCCACATGGGGTCCCCATACACTCCCTGGGCTCCATGAGATAAAGCCTCAGATGGGCAGGTGGGGCAAGTGTCAGGCCAGCTGATGAAAGCTTAGCACAGTGAGGTGTAACCTATTGCAGCCCTTTCTCTGAGTCTCTACTGCCTAGGCTGGAGCTCCTTCCAGGTACAGAGGCCACAGATCTGTTCAAAGGAAGGTTCCTCACCACTGGATGCTAGGAAGGTGGGGAGCAGGGCAGGGAGGCTGCTCAGGAGGAAGAGCACTTCAGCAATAGCTTTTCCCTCCTCCTTCCTTCTGCTTTTTCATCCTTCCTTCCTCCTTCCCTTCTTCCCTCCTTCCCTCCCTTCTGTCTCCTCTCTTGCCTTCTTCAGCCCTAGCTTTCTCCAAGGCTTGATTCAGGGGTATTTGTTGCCCTAGGGGTAACACTGTGAACTCTGGACCTGTCGCCCTGCTTAGAAGCCTGGCTGGTGGCATGTGGTGGGACCTTTGCCATGATACCATGCTAAATGGGGGCACACCCTTCTTTGGGGGTAGAAATAGGGCCTGGGCTGATTTCTGTAGCTTCTTGGGGGAGATGGTCAGTGAGTTCCACTTGAAGGACAGTCAAAGGATGCTCCCCACATCCCTTTCAGGGGCTGCCAGCCTTTCACACACCCCTGCCCTGGCACTGCCTCTTGTCTGCTTGTCCTATTTGGTCATCCACATGTGCCAGTCCCTTTCCTCTGTCCTATGTTCACTCCGTCCTCTGACCATAGGAAAGAGGATGAGCTGTCTGGGAGGGACCACCTGTGCTCTCCTCAAGGAGACATCCCTGAGCCTAATTCTTGGACTCAGTGGCTCTCTTGCAAAGGGGATATATGGTAGCCTACCCTCTATGTGTCCCTAGACCCTGCTACTTATCTAGGTAACTTTGAAGCCAAAACATGAAGTCAGTTCTCCCTTCCTCACCCCAGGGAGCAGATAGAGTCTTCTGATAATAGGAGGGGTGGGGTAGGGATGGGAAAGAGGAGACTACAGTGGCCCTTGTTGGTAGAGTAGTGGAGATAGGTGGGCCAAGATGCTGTGCGGTCAGATCTAAGCCAGTTGAGGGTGGTGGGAAACTACCAGACCTCAAGGCGCATCATCTCAGGGGGCCATTGTGAGGGGCAAATTTCCAGCATCAGGCATGCTGAGCCCAGCTGGAGCTGGTTCAGGCCATCCCCTACCTGGGCATCATGGGAAGTCCAGTGGACCTGCTCCACCTCCCACCCAGCCCAGCCTTCTCAACCAGTCCTTGCCAGGGACCAGGAGAGGAAATTCTGATTTGTTCACTGAGAGAAGGTGCACATTTATGACACTATGTGGTCACTCTCCAGGAGACCAGAGTCTGGTCTGCCTGGAGGGCCCCCCCCCTAGTGGTTCAGACTTCATGTGGGGTGCATGGGGAGGTTGTGACCCCTACCCATTCACACTGGCAAGTCAAGATGCTCAGGATCCTCAAAGTCCCACTAACTTTGGCTGTGAAGGCCCCTCTCAAGCTAGATCCTGGGAGGTAAGGACAAGTTTGACCCAAGTGTGTGTCTCCTTGGGAAACAGGAGACAGAAGCAGGTTATAGAGTCTGTGGAGAGGGTGGAAGCCTTGTACACCACTTGTTTTAGGTGGATGTTTGCACCCTTGGAACAACCTCTGGGTTCTGCCACTGGGGATCTGGAGAGTCCACTCTCAACGCTCAGAACAAGATCCTTCCACATAGAGCTGTGCATTTCATTGATTCTAAGTCAGAACTGACTTAATAGCAGTGAGTTTGGTTTTGGTTTCAAGGGTCCATTTGTTCATATTTTAAAATTTTGAGGTTGAGATGTGTCTTTCAACCAGTCTTTTAAAAACAATTTAATTGGCAGGGTTTTGTCTGTCTTAGTCTAACCTTGTGGAAAGTAACAGTAGTATGATTTTGACAAATGGTGTCTTAGGACTGAGCTATGAGAGGGAAGCCTTGCTGGCAGAGGCACCCATGGATTCCAGAGGGCCTGGTGGGCAGGGACAAGGATGGGTACCGTGGGAGCTCCCCTTAGGATGTCAGGGTAGGTAGGGTGGGTGCTTACTAACTGCTGAGGACCACAGCCCTGCTGAAATGGGCCTGGCCAGACCAGGAAGGAGGCTTGGGACAGGGAGGGGCATACTGCTGAGGGGCAAAGCTGTCTAAGCCTCTGGAAGCCCTCAGGGCAAGTGCCTTTTGGTCACAGGGCTGTAACCTCCTTGGCTGTTTCTGTGGGGGGGGGGGCATGCTTCCTTTCTGCTTTGCAAGGTTGCTGTTACATTAGGGAGGGTGTGAGTGTCGTGGGTCACCTGGTGGGCAGCCAGCCCTTGGGATTTGCTAGCCTATCCAGGTAGAGTCAGAGCAGGGGTCCTCATTTTGTCAGGTGTGGTAGGAGCAGCAGCTTGGCTGGGTCCAGAGCTGGGTGGGAGCTTACAGGGCTGCTCAGGGGTGGATTTCCTGTGTTTCCCCTGGTGCTGGGGGCCCTCTGTTCCATCGTCCCTTCTGCTGCCCTTTGGGAGGTCTTTGCTGTAGCAAGGAAAGGCTGAGCCCACAGCAGGCATCTCCCCTGTGTCAGAGCTGACTCAGATTGCTGCTGGGAGGTGAGGTGGGAACTAAGGAGCACCTCTCTATTGAAGGGGGCCTAGGGCAATGAGAGTCTTTCTGGCATGCCCCCATATTCTCCATCCTGTTATGGCCCATATGAGGGTACCAAGCACAAAGTGGACATCTTATTGCTGTCGTCTTGGGGTAGAAGTTCATCTGGGAGAGACAGACAGTGGTGGGACAGGGACTGTCCAGAAATGAAGATACCACATGGTAAGGAGGGGAATGGTGGTCAGCATCTTCACCTCCTGCAAATTACTCTTGTCTCTATTGTACCCTCCTCCCCATGACTTACCCTTATAAATGTGCTCTTGGCCCTGATGGCAGCCTGAGAACCTGCTCTTAGCCAGCAAATGCAAAGGTGCTGCGGTGAAGCTGGCTGACTTTGGACTGGCCATCGAGGTGCAGGGGGACCAGCAGGCATGGTTTGGTAAGTGCCAGGCCAGCAAGCTAGGGTAGGGGGTTGGCCTCAACATCTCCTCATCAGCCTTCTCTTCCCACTAGGTTTCGCTGGGACACCAGGGTACCTGTCCCCAGAGGTCCTTCGCAAGGAGGCATATGGCAAGCCTGTGGACATCTGGGCATGTGGTGAGGCCCAAGAATGTGCAGAGAGGTCTAGGACAGATACTTGGGTAGGGCAGCTGATGCTGTTCTAAGCTAGGCTGTCTGTTCATCCTCTTCTATCCTGGCCCAGCCAGTCAACCAGACAGCCAGAGCCCCTGCCCATTGCCCATGATGGGGTAGAGAGGTCTGCACCAGAAGTAGCAGCAGGGTAGGCAGCTAGGGGAAGGATGGGCAGAGGCAGCACAGCAGCAGAGGAGCTGACCCTAGCCTCATTTCCGAAGTAGGGTGATCATTGAGGCACTGGGGTTTGAAACCTATGAGAGCTCTTTGTCACAGTCTGACACAACCTGTTTGAAACTGCTTACAAATAATGACACTAGGTAACACCTCACAGCACCCAGTGGAAGGCAGAAGACACTTAAGGGTCCCAAGAGACTCATGAGGCTCACACTGTGGGACAGGCCAGTGAAGGCCTGCATATGTTCTTCTGATAGCTCTACAGGTATGTCTTGTCAGCACCATCCCTATCACATACTGAGGACAAGGCAGGGTTGGGCACTGTCCTTGCCTATGAACTCCCAGAGAGATGCTGCCCACTCCTGGGCTATTGATGTGCTCTTGCACCTAATGGACATGTGTGGCTAGAGTCAGAGCATGGGTACCTGCCACATGCTCACAGTCACCCTCCCCAGGGGTGATCCTCTATATCCTGCTTGTGGGCTACCCGCCATTCTGGGACGAGGACCAGCACAAGCTGTACCAGCAGATCAAGGCCGGAGCCTACGATGTGAGTGCTGCTGCCCCACCCTCACAAGTCATAGGGAGGCCTTGAAGGCCCAATAGCCACCCCATATGTGCATGCCCATACATGCACACATACATGTGTGCATGTGTATACATGTTTATATATGTGCATGTGTGTGCACCTGTGCATATTTTGTGGGTGTATGAGTGTGGGAGTGTGTGCATGTTTGTGTATGTGTGCATGTGCATGTGAGAGGGCCAGCGGGGAAGAAGGCAGGAAGCGAGTGAAAGAAACCACCTGTGGTCAGAACCTGGGGCCCTGTTTTCTTAGATTTCTCGCCAGGATGAAGTCCTCTGAAGAGTTCTAACTCCTGTTCTGGTGAGGGACTTCAAACTGCTCCTGTGCCTTCTTTCCTTCTCTAGTTCCCCTCCCCAGAGTGGGACACTGTCACTCCTGAAGCCAAAAACCTCATCAACCAGATGCTCACCATCAACCCCGCAAAGCGCATCACAGCCCATGAGGCTCTGAAGCATCCGTGGGTCTGCGTAAGTAGCCTTAGTGAATGCTTGCAGACAAGGCTCCTTGGGGGTGACCTCCAACCTGCCAGAAGGAGGCTCACTCTTGGGGCTTTCAGAGAGAGCTTCTCTTCTTCACTCTTATTCCTCACACCTGATGGCTCCCAGTACCCTGAGTCCTGCTGCATTGCTTGTGGCCTCTGTGATGTGCAGTTGGTTTTTCTGTGGAGCCTGTGAGGCTTAGTTTCTGGAAGGGCAGGTGCTTGAAGGGCCTGTGGAGAGAAGGGAAGCCCTTCTGACCCCTGTACTGTTTGTTGGGAAACAGCAACTATGAGGACAGGAGGCAAGGCAAGGCTTGGGGAGAACTTGTGCTAGTGTGGTCAGGCTTGGGGGCAGGCAGGGAGAGGGGTGGGGAGCAGGAATGAGGACAAGCAAAAGGGAGATGAATGTGGGGATGGAGTTAGGGATGGAGGATAGGCATAGGAGACAGGAGTGAGGAATGGGATATGGGCATAAGGGCAAGGATAGGAGACAAAGGTGGGGGACAGATAAATAGGGAGTGGGCATGGGGGCCAGGGAACAGAATGCAGATGAGTGGGGACAGGAACTGGTGGTGAGGGGATAAGCCTTGCTCTGAGGAGGTATTTTGTGGTTCTTAGCATGTGGTAGCCACAAGAATGTCCCAAGGCCTGCTGCCCTGCACTTCTGCCCTGAGTCCCCTGGCTGCTTCTGGGACCCCAGAACAAAGCTGGCTACTTGGGGCTCCTGTAGCTGTATAATGTCCCTTTTCCCACAGCAACGCTCCACGGTAGCCTCTATGATGCACAGACAGGAGACTGTAGAGTGTCTGAAGAAGTTCAATGCCAGGAGAAAGCTCAAGGTGAGTATGCTTGCTCTTCCAGCAAGGGCAGTGTCTGCATCTTCCTGGTCTGGCAGCTCTGTTCTGGTCTTGGGGGCACCACCTGCTCATGGCTGGGAGCCATGTAGGGGCAGCTATGTGGGAGGCTGTAGAAGATATCATCTTGGCTTTTTTCTGCTACAGGAGACCTTGGAGACAGGCTGCTCATCCTCACAATGTCAACCAAATGAGATTATAAGCTCAGGCCTGGAGCTCCAGGGCCCTTCCCATGCTCTTGAGCCTCAGGGCCTGTGTGGGAAGTAACAACTTGGTGTCCTGGGCCCCATGTGGGCTTGGCTTCCAGGGTCCTCGGACAGCCTGCCCAGCTCCACAAGCAGCCCTCCTATCCCCTGCTCTCTTATTTCTCCCTTTCTGCACCCTATCCTGGGCTCCAGAGTGCCCAGGGCTGTGGTTGGGAGAGAAGAAGGAGCTGTTGAGGCGATGATGGGTGGCATAGTCATTTACTCTCTAGTATGAGTAAGTTTAAGAGCTCTGGTAGCATAGTGCCTAAGGCATTTGACTCCTAACCAGAAGGCTGGTAGTTCAAACCCACCAGCCACTCCTCAGAAGGAAGGTTGGGCAATCTACTTCTGTAGTGATAGTGCCTCGGAAACCCAAGGAGGGGTCGGACTCAACAGCAGTGAGTTTGTTTTTTGTTTTGATGAGTAAATTTCAAAGCTTCTGATCCAAACAGGTTTTAATAAGTAAAATGTTTAGTAGGTCCAAGGATAAGGTGGGCACAGGAAGGGGAGGGCACTAAATAGGGACCTCAGATTCTCAGAGGCACACTTGAACTTCCTACTGTACTGGTCCTGATGGTGGGGCTGTCTGGTATGATGCCCACAGATGGACAGCATGCTGAGTCATGGCCCAAAGGCCTCCTGTCTGCCATCTGCTGGCCTCTCTAAGAGGCTTTCAGAGCACTCTGCTCCTCCAAAGTTTACTGCTGAATGGTAGAGAGACCCCCTGCCAGGCCACCTCTCAGTGAGAGCAGGGGCTTTCTAAACCGTCTTACAGCTGTGGAGCCACCTGGCAGATGGGGCAATGGGTGGTTGTAGCAACCTCCCCAAGGCTCTTTGGGTCTTGACCTATTCTAAAAACTGTGGTGTAGCAGCCAAGTTCAGAGGGCCCACAGGACGTGCTCTAATTCTGAAAATGAGGCTGGTCTGGGGCCTAGCTGGTCAGTGTTCAGAACATCTACTTCTCTGGAAAGCCATGCTCCAGAGCCCTGCCAGATATCCCAAGGTTCTGAGCTTCCAGATGGGTTGGAACAGGACCTGAGTTTTACCTTTGTGTTTCTTCCTTTAGGGAGCCATCCTCACCACCATGCTGGCCACTCGGAACTTTTCAGGTGAGAGCACTCTCTCTCCAGGAAGAATGGGGCTGTTGCCTTGTTCTGCAGGTCCTCACCAAGCAGCTGAGCCAAAGCAAGAAGGTTCTGTGACCGCCAGCCAGCTTCTTTTCCCTTTCTTATGCCATGCCCCAGCTCCATTGCTCACTGGGGCCTATGGGGTACAGAGAAGGACTGGGAACCCTGGCCTTCCATGACCAATGCCTAGGGTCCAGCTGCCCCCACCTCTGTCATCATGCTGAGTCTCTGTGTCCCGTCTCTTGTGCCCTCCGCATGTTTACAGGCCCTGGTCTGGCAGCTCTGTTCTGTTGCAAGCCCTCTGGGCACCCATTTTGTGTCTGGGAGGTGGGCAATGAGTTGGAGGGTAAGCAAGAGGAGGATCCGGACAGCTAGCAGGTGGTGGCTAGGTCACCTGTGGATGGGGGTTAGGGGCTGAAGTCTTGCTGGGCTTGAGGTCTTGTCCCTTTTGTTGCATCTCTGTGGATCCCTGCAGCAGCTAGGTTCTTTCTCTGTCTATGTGTCCCAACCCCCCAACATCCCTCTCAAGCTCCCCACTTCTGTCCTGTTACTTTTGCTGTGATCGTACCTCTGGGAACAGGCTGTGCACCATCACACCAACACTAACTGGACGTGTTCTGTCTGTGTATGTGGGGGGGGGGGGGCTGGGGCCATGCCCACTCCGATGTCTCTCCCTTCCCTCCCCCCAGGTCCTGCTCACCCAGAAGCCCTGCTGGGGTTTTCTGTGGAGAAAGGAGGCAAATGCTTTTCAAATGCTAACCAGTCTTGATCTTGTTTTCACTCTCCTTGCAAAAAGGATTCTGGTATCAACAGTCTCATCTCTTACTTAAACTTTTAATTTTCTTCTGCTTCCTTTGTCTCTCTTCTCTTCGTATCTTGCCTGCCCTGTCTGTGTCCCCTCCTCCGTCACTGCTCCCCTCTGCTGTCTCTAACCCGGCGCTCACAGTGGGCAGACAGACCACCGCTCCTGCCACAATGTCCACAGCCGCCTCCGGTGCCACCATGGGGCTGGTGGAGCAAGGTAGATGTGTCTTGACAAGCGTCCTGACCCTGCCAGACCTCAGCATGCAGCCCCTCACCACAGGCAGCCATAGCTGCACACCCTAACAAAAACCACCCACTCAGGTTGTTTCTATTGGCTTCAGTTCCCCCATCTCCACAATGAGGCCCATCTAGCCCCATATGCACTTGGCTGAAATGGCCTGAGAGAATACTCCTTGAGTCCCAGTCCTGAAATCTGGGCATCAGGAGGCCCCCTGTCAGAACCCCTTGCTTTCTGAAGCCCTCTGTGCATCCATTGCCATCACAAGCTCATTCAGAATTGCCTTGGCCATGCAGGAAGGATGTGAACTGATGGAGGCTTACCAAAACCTTGAGTAGGGATTCCCCCCAGAGATGGACGGGAAGGAGAGCTCTTTCTGTGAGAGCCCATTTGAGGCCCTCAGTCAGTGGCCATTCCCATCTACTGCCCATGTCCACCCTTCCTTCAAAGAGAGCAGATACAGCACCCACAGCTATGGCTCCTGCCGGAACCTGAGTTTACTTGCCCTTCAGCCCTTTGCCTGCCTCTGCAGGACTGTGTGTGGGCGAGTGAACAGGCAGGCAGGAGCATGATCTGGGGCTGCTGTGTTCTGCATGTACCACATGCGTGTCGGATCCGTAGTCTCCTAGAGCAGGCTGTGCTGCTGGGGGCCTAGGCACTTGGACTCCTTCCTCATTGGAGTTCTTCCTATGAGACCCTCCTCACCTCACCTCAAACCCATCCCTTTGACCTCCTGCTGACATGCCCCTTTAGGGGCAGAGGACCCCTGCCTGGGCAAGACCCTACCATCTCTGTCCTACCACATGCGACACACATCCATGTCCTACCACATGCAACAACAAGGACCTTCCAGTTGACCCTGTGTCTTTTACTGCAGGCCAAGCCATGAGTTGGGCCTACGAGTAGCCACTGGTATTCCCATGGCAACCCAGTGAAGGTGGGAAAATCCACCCTGGCTCCCACCCCATTCCCTCCCAGAGCCTCAGAGCTCCCCAGGTGGCAATTCCCAAACGCAGCCCCATCCTTGGTGAAGAGTCAGCCCATATTCACCCAGTGGACATGCCCAGAGGCAGGACCCTGAGGAGAGGCATCCTAAATCAGCTCCACTTCTTGGGGAGGGGATGGGGAGCAGACAGGCAGCTGCTTACAAAGCCTGAGGCCATGTCATCTGGAAAGCCACCCTTGCCTGCAAGGGTCATGGTAGGCTGTGCATGAGGCCGTGCATGTGCCGGGCGCTGCACCATATGGAGGCTGCTGTGTCCAAGGGGTGTGCATGGGGAGGATGCCCACATAGCTGTCCAGGAGTCAGGAGTGGGCCCACAAGGAGATGGGCATGAAGTGATAGAAAAGGGCCCCTCAGTAGCCACATCAACTCTGAAAGGCTGCAGGCCCCTTATCTTTGTAGAACACGTTGCAGTTGATGGAAATACGTCACCACTTGACCTTTACAGCTTTCCTCTCTGCTGTAGAAAGGCACTTCCAGCAAAGGGAGGCACAGCTGGGAGGTGAAGGGGCTGCCTCACCCAGAGAATAGAGGGAGTAAGGTCTCAGCTGCTGGGAAGACCCCATCCTAAATGTCTGGTATTTCTATACCTGCTCTGCCCATCTTGAGGCACATAACAAAGGGCTTTAGCTTGAGAAAACCTAAAGGCCACTCCTTGTGCATTCCACTACCAGTATAGGTGAGCCAAAGCCAAAAGCCATGTAGCTGACAGGGTTCTGGCTACCATGAATCTGGGGTTAGTCTCTAGTAGGCATGTGGATTTCCAGGAAATGAGTGGCTCCAAGAAATGCCATTGCCAGGAGCTGTGTGACAGTGTCTCAGGCTACCCCAAATCATTTGTTAAGAAATAAAGGGGAGTTGCAGAGAAAACTGTCTGAAACTTCATTGAAATTGCACAGATGTCCTCACTGCAGGCTCTCAGCACCTGTGCCATCCCTCCCGAACACTAAAGGGAAGAGTAACTCAGTGTGCAGTATCTCCCACTCTGTGACGGTGAAGCCCCTTTGTATTTGTCCCATTGATAACTGGTAACATCTTGAGCAGCACAGTTTGGAAATGCAGGCTATGCTGGAATCAGATATATAAATTTTAGGACCAGGCACAGCTGCACAGACAACTTCCTCCTCTGGGTAGGCACAGTGGCTGCCTGTCCTAGAGAGAGGACAAGGACAGCCTGAGGGGCTAGGCTGGCCTCAGCAAGGCACTCAGCTGGGCCCCTGGGCAGCCAGCCTGGATAGGGTTGGTAGGGGCACTGTGGATAAGCAGGGTGCTTCAGGGACAGCTCTGGGCCTGCCCTAAGAGGCTTCTACAGTCATCAATTTTAACAAAACCATGACTTTCAAATGTGTGTCCCTGTAGTGGAGGGAATCTGCCCACATGCCTGCTCAGCTGATATCCCTTTCCTCCTGGGCTCCTCCCCTTTCCAGTCACTCCTCTACTGCACCCCTTGCCTGTGTTAGGGCCAGTCTGCCAACATGTTAGGGTCTGCCAACATGACAGGATCTGGGGGACCTTCCACAGACTCAGCCTGCCTCCTACTTCAGCACCACACTGGGCGAGTCCATGCTGACCTGCTGAGTAAATAGTCTGGTGTCTGAATGGTCAGAGATGGAGCAAGAAGACCTTTTCTAGGTGTGGGGATCAGAATGAGCTGCATGTGTTGGAGATGGGGAGAATGGAGCAATGACATCAGGCAACAATGTGACTTTGAGGGGAAAGCTGGAGGGTGGGGCTTGTGTTCAGGGAATGATAGACCTATTCTGTGTGACTGCCCCAGAGCCAGTGGAGCCTGCTAGTGTGTGTTATAAGGAGGCAGGTTGTAATGGTGATGCAGGTAAGATTAACAATTGGCAGCACTATGGAAGAGTGGTTTGAGCCCTGAAAAGGAGCATTCCTGGTCCTGGATGTCTGTTGGAAGGGTTGCTATGGATGTCAGAGGTGCTTCTGAGTCAGGCCTATGGGGATTGTGGGGGGCAAGACTTGGGAGGAGTCATGTGCAGAGATGCAGATCCCAGGGAATGGTGTTGCTGGTCTGAGTAGCCAGATCAGATTCCTAGTAACTCCTGAGAGAACTGCCTCGCAGATCCTGTAGTGCTCCTTTGGATCTTGACATGAAACTTCTGAGAGTATTAGATCAGTGAAGAAGGCAGGATGGCCCTGCCCTGGCCACTGTTCTCCTGGGTCAAGTGCCACCAACAGGCCATGTCGTGATCCCATGTCCCCACACAAAGCTCAGGAGGCCACCAAGAGGAGGTAGGACAGCAATCAGCATGGTCAATCATGAGGAAGATGGCCAGCTACGAGGCAGCCCTGTCCTGATGGGCATTTGGCCCAGGACTGGTCACAGAGCCGGGTTGTCTGAAAAGGACTCCAGCAGTGTCAGAGTCACCCGAGGGTTTGTAAGGCAGATGTGGGCTCAGAAGGTTCAGCAGCAAAGACCTGCATTTCTCAGCAGCTCAGATGCTGCTGTACCGCTGGTGCAGCCTCTGTGAAGCCCACCAAAACTCTCTGGGTCATACTGGTTTCCTGACTGCCTGCCTGTCTATAGAAACTCAGAGAAACTAGAGGCCTGGCCCAGAACAGCCTGGAGATGCTGCAGGCAGGGCGGGATCCCAGAACTACATGTCCTACCCAGTCCTTGTGGCCACTTGGTCCCTTCCAGCAGGCAAGAGAGCCCAGCTACAGCACCTCTGTCCCTTGCCCCATATGAGCCATGGCATGGCCCTAGAGCAGGCACTGGGCTATGGTGTGAGGAAGCTGCTTCCCTACCTGTGCACCAATTGTCTGGGATGCCACTTGGCTCTTTTTCGAGTCTGGGTTGAGGCCATGGTGGCAAGCATGGGCTGGCAGCTTCTCAGTGGGGCATGTCATGGGCACAGGCACTCTCTGCTGGGGCCAACACAAACCTTATTTTCTCTCTTCCTTCCTCACTCCTTCCTCCTCCTCTCATCTTTTCTTTTCTGTAAGGTAAGCAGACTTCCTATTCTTTTTCTTCTGCAGTTCCATAGTTAAAATGCTAACTTGCTGCTAAGGGCCATCGCTTGGGGACTAGGTCTGTGACTCTATCAAAGCTTCCAGTGGGTGGGGAGACAGAGGCATGAGTGGCAGGGCCCAGTTAGAGGGCCACCCCCAGCCTCTGTGAGGAGGAAGGAGTGTTGAGGTGACATGGGCATGGGAACCTGGAGATAGAGATGGCCTTTAGGCCCCTTCTGTCAAGTGTGTCCATCTTGCTGACCCCCACTCAGAGCCCAGGATCCTTTGGGCCCTGTGGGAAAAAAGGCCTTTACTGGCCATAGCCAGTCTTATGGTGAGACCATTCAGGAATAGGGAGAGAGAGACCTTCCATGGGTAGTAGGAGCTGGGTGGGGCCCAAATGAGAGGACCTGAAGCACCAAGAGCCCTGCCCTATATGGGCCACCTCCCAGCTCTTGCCAGAATCTGGGGTATAACAAGGGCTTGTGCCCCTCTTGAGGCACAGCATCCTGTCTGGGCCCAGCCTGGTACCTTCTGTGCCCCACAGGCAGCCAGCCTCTTCCTAGTACATGGTCTGTGTTTCAGTCCATTGAGAGGAGGGAAACACCAGTCTGGGCTGCCCTGTGGCCTATCCTGCAAGGTGCCTCTGAGCTGAGAGAGCTGGGTGGGTGATGCTGGTGACCTGGGCCAAATGAGTGACTCCCTTGGGTGCACTGGCCCAGCTGGCCATGGGAACACACCAGGCTGCTGTGTGTGGCCAACTACTGCAGATGTCTGTGGGTGCGGGGTCCACACTGCCAGGACTGGGGTTTCCTGGGAGGCACTGGTCCAAGCAGTTCTTTGCTCATAGTCCAGCCCCTATGGGCCATAAGGGCCCTTACATGGGAGGGAGAGTGCAATGGAACTTCAGGGCCACCACTTCTCATGCTGCTTCTTTCCCTCCACATAGCAGCCAAGAGTCTACTGAACAAGAAGGCAGATGGAGTCAAGGTGAGGATACTGGCCAGGCATAGGGATAGGCATGAGGGTGTGTAGCCTGCCTATTTCTTCTTCATGATTCACATATTCCTCTTCCTTCTCTCCACAGCCTCAGACAAATAGCACCAAAAACAGTGCAGCAGTCACCAGCCCCAAGGGAACACTGCCTCCTGCTGCCCTGGTACTGGCTCCTTCTTAGCTCTCCTTATGTTGCTGACTGTGTGGATGTCCCCCTCCACCAGAGGCAGGGTCCCTAATAGGTACATGTTAGGGCCCCACGTCCCCCTAGTAGAATGAAGGTCAGACTTACTCTGGGCAAAAGAGCTGCATCATGGGCAGCACTCAAGGCACTCACGGAGCCCCTCACTAAGGCTGCAGCATAGGGAGTAGATGGTGGGGTTTTGCAGCCACCTGGGGCCTTGGGAGGTGCTTCCCAGGGGGATAGGGTACAGGCAAAGTTGTAGCCCAGAGTGGTATCATCAGGTGACAGAGCGAACTGTGGTGCTCTCCTGCACCAGCCGCTGTCCTTGGATGACTACCAGGCTAATATGTCTGAGAAATGTGCCACTCTTCACTGAGTCAAGCCACTCTGTGAGCATAGTGTGTTCACAAGAAGAAAGGCTTGGTCCTAGCATCTGTACCCACCCAGTGGGTGGAGGGAGGAGGGAGGAGAGAGCCAGAGTTCTCTCACTTGTCCCCAGCAAGAACCAGTTTTGCCTACCAGACCTGCCCCCAAAACAACAGCCCTGCAGCCAGGCTGTCTCAACCACCAGTTTGTGCATGTGTGAAGCCAGGTACAGAGCAGGGGGTATGCACTTCCAGGCTGCCTGAGAATAGCAGGGGCTTTTTGTATGTACTGGGGACTTTTTGAAAAGCCAGAGAAGCAAGGACAAGGCAGAAAGGGAGCCCCAGTGCAGACCCGTGAGCAGCCTGTGAGGGGGCACTAGCCAGGCTGGACATTGTGAAGGTAGAGGGCACCCTGGTCCTCCTGCCCAATGACTCCCAGCTGGTGCACCCAGGTATATAGTACTAGTCTGAGAAAGTCATCCTGAGGTGGAGGTTTGCTGATCCAGAGCCTCCTACATGTGCTTGAAAGGCCTGTAAAGGTACCCCATTCTGGGACCACCATCTTCAGCTTAAGTTACAGTCTCCCTTGAATTCAGGAGGGCTGGGTTTGCATGTGTGTATGTGTGTGTGTGGGGGGTGCAATCTCAGCCAGGGAGGAACTGGCTGTGGGGTACGTGGGAGCTGCTGGGAGTTCCAGCATTGGTGGGAGGGGCTCAAAATGGCCCTCAAAGGTCTCAGCCTAGTCTCCATTTCACACCATCCATCTCCATGTGCCAACCCCACCACAGACTGCCACACAAAACTTCAGACCTGTGGACCCGGCCATGTTGACAATGGAGGTCCAGACAGCTAAGGTGGACACCTCAGCTCTCCCTTTCCCCAAAGCAGGCAACATGCTTACACTGCCCTGCACCCAGCCACACTCCCTGCTTCTCCTGGGATGGCCATGCCTTCTCCCACTTGGCTCTAGTCAGCTTCATCCATGTTACTCACAGCCCCTCTGAATCGTTCTTGAGGAGCAATCCTGCCACCTTCCTTCACTCCCCTCCCACCCACTTCCCTCCATGAACTGCCCACTTTCCTCTCTGTCTCCATGTCCTGGCTCTCCTTCTCTTCTCACTCTCCCTCTCTCTCCTCCTCTGTGTCTTCCTTCTCCTGTAGGAGCCTCAAACCACGGTTATCCATAACCCTGTGGACGGGATTAAGGTACTGCTGCCTCTTTCCTTGTGCCCTGTGGGAGCTCCTGCCCAAAAGTCTGGCCAGCACTGCTCTCCCATCTTCTCAAGCCCTTAACATGCCCCAAGTTCAAAGCAAGGGCCTGGGTGCTGACCAGGGTGCAGGAGTGGTGTGGAGACAGTGTACAGGCTGTAGCCTCCTGTCTAGATAGATGCAGGACAATTTGCATTCAGCTCAGAGAACTGATGCCAGGTGGTTGCTGCCTCACAGGGAGGGTCCAGGAGTCACAGCGTAGAGTGCCCAGCCACAATGTCATGAGGTCCACAGTGTGACCAACACCCTCAATTAGCACAAGGTCCCCATGAACATGAGGCCAAGGCTTCCTGCTGTCCCCACCTCACCCTCTGCTGGCCATGGCCAGGCCCACTCAGCTTAGCTAGAAGAGATGCTTTGCCAGGAGTACACCCAGAGCTACTAAAAGGGTCCCAGTTGAAGGCTGCCTGAACTGCCTACTGTGCCCATCAGTGCTGGCCCAGCAGGGATGGAGTGCATGCCCATGTCCCACTTTCCCACTTGGCATCCCTCAACAGCCTTCTTCTCTTCCCTCCTACCTGCTCTATTCATCAGTTCCCATTGGCTCATTGCATCATCATCCTCCTCAGGGTGAGGGAAGGGAGGGCAGTAGGGTCGAGTCAGGCCTACTCACCTGTGCCCAGGCCTGCAGCTAGACCTTCATGGGCCTAGGCTCCCATGAAGCTCCCTGCACCACTCCAGGCCCGTACCTCCTCCTGGCCACACCCTGACCCTCTCTGTCCTCAAAAGACATCTGATTTGATCAGCCTGGCCTTCTTCCAGAGTGGGTAGGGAGGCCACTGGAGAGTGTGAGAGAGGGGAGGGCCCAGCATTGCCCCATCCCATAACCTGGGTGCATGTTCCTCCAAACAATGTGTGTCTGAGGTGGAGGTTGTACTTTCTCTGCAGAGAGGCCAGCAGATGACCTCCTGGAACTACCGAACCTTGACCTTGCAACTTAAAGACACCTCCAACATATATACACACACACTTCTGACCTGGGACCTAGGCAGTGTGTCTAGTTAGGTTGGAGTGGGATGGGGGTTCTGGTCCTTTAAGGATCCTTGGTTGAAGATGTTCCTTCTGAGGAGTAGAACAGACTTGGGGGTAGGTGGATGTACCTGAATTTTAATCTGAAGACAGTAAGGTACCAGAGCTAGACAGTGTGAGTCCCAACCCAGGTTGTCCTTGGGGTCATTAGCACCATCTGGTCTGGGAGCCCTCTGCAGGAACAACAGCTTACATGGTTGTCTGGGGCATCTTTTCTGCTTCACCAAGGGTCAGACTCAAGTCTTATCTTGTCTGAGGTCATAAGAAGTCAAAAGCTCCCTCTCCTGTGTTGTTAAAATGTCTTTCCCTGCCTGTAGTGGTTATGGATGAAGTGAAGTCTCTGCCGTTGGGGGTAAGGTCTCACTTCTAAGTGGCAGAGGCCCAGTGCCCAGAGGGTAGAGAGGTATATGGCTTCCTGCATAGCCCCAGGAGCCCCAAGAAACTCCCTGGTAACCAGTAGCCAGAAGCTGCCTCCTACTCCAGTCTTTGCTGGGCTTGATGTCCAGGGCTAGAGCTCAGCAGTGAGAAGAGAGTGTCTCCATAGCCCCCTGGGTGACCTTGAAGTTCCTGTCATTCAGCACTGAGAGAGTGGGCTGAGCAGAGGCCCGAGACCTCTAGCAGTCCCCTCCTGGTGGGCTACCCTCACCCAGCACAGACCCTTGAACACTAACTCCACCTGAGGCACATCAGTTTTGATTGATCTTCTATGTTTCCCTAGGAGTCCTCTGACAGCACCAATACTACCATAGAGGATGAAGACACGAAAGGTACCACCTCACACCTCCATGCTCTGGGATGGCCAGGGCCAGGGTGGGAGGGCAGAGGGAGGTGGGAGAGGCTGTGCCATGAGTCTGCACTGTGGGCATTCTGCCCAGGACCTTCCAGTGGGAATGGCACCCTCTGGAGGAGCTGATGGCCAGCCATTGAGGAGCTGTGCCCTCCCACTAGCTGCCGGGGAAGACCAGGCCAGTGCTGGCCATTTGTGCTGATCTTTGTGAGTCCTTGTCTGGTTTACACTGTTCACATTTGCTCAAAGATGCTTTTCTTCTCCTCAGGTTTCTTAAGTTTTTGGTTAAGCTGTAGCTGAAGTTGACAAATGGATAGGCAGCATTATCAGGGAAGTGTGAGGGTGGCTGCAGAATGTTCTGTGCTGTGTTTGTTGAGCTAAGGGAGACTGCTCTCCTGAGGAGGGTCTCACCATAGGCTTGTAACAGGGACATGGATTACACAGCTTTGTGTCCTGTTTGACACCCTGGCTCCTAGGCCTCCCCTTCCCCTAGCATTGAACCAAGCCAGTGGCCTTGGTGGTGGTGTCTGTCCCTGAAAAGGCCCAGGGCAACTGGGCAATCACTGAGGCCCAGCCCAGTCTGCCCAGACTCTAACCCTTTCACCAAAGCCTTTCTCCCTGCCCACCTGGCTACCCACTGCTGAAGCATGGGCTCCTGACTTTGGTCTCCTTCCTTACATTCCTATGAACTGAACTCACCGCCATTGAGTCAATTCTGACTCATAGCAACCCCCATTGAATTTCTGAGGCTATAAATCTTTATGAAAGTAGATCCCCCCAACTTCCTTCCATGGAGCAGCTGGTTAGTTTAAACCATTGATCTTCTGGTTAGCAGCCAGATGCCTTATGCTCTACACCACCAGTGCTCCTATAAATGACCCTAATGTCACCTCAGTACTGTGCAAGGACAGCAGCCCAACCCTGGGCCACACCACCATGCTTTGTCCCCCACCCCACACCCTCAGCAGGACGGAGGCAAGAGTACTGCTTCCCATGGCTGACCAGCAAGAGCCCTTTTGAGCTGCAGGGCTGTATGGCCTCCCTAGTGCCCAGCCCATGGATAGCAGATCAGGATGGGATTTTGCAGCAGGACTGAGCACTGGCCGTGGAATGGGGCTGGACCAGAACAGAACACACAGGTGCCAGGTGGCTACCAGCCTGGACTCCAGCAGCTATTTGTATAGGAGGGGTGGGGAAAGAAGAGCCCTCAGCCCCTCAGCTTCTATCTAGATCCCTTCTGGCTGATGGGAGAGGGCCCTGGAGGGGGCCTAAGTGGTCTTTAGAGGCTGGCTGGGTGCTTTGCTCAGCCTCCCAAGCCAGCCTCATGTGGCCCTGATTGGCTTTGTGGCCACAGACAGCCACTTGTTTGTTTTGAAAGGTAAAGACCACACTACTGTCCCTATTATGGTGCTGTCCCCTCATTGTGGCCCACTGGAACAACCCATAGCTGTAGTCTTACTTCCCTGCTTTTGCTCCCCACACACTGCTGGGATATGGGCTCTGGGCATACCAAGGAGGAAGTGGCCTTTCACACTGCAGTCCTCCCCCCAACCCCCACCCAATGCCAGGTGGATCCTGGTGCCAGGCACAGGAAGTCAGTGGGAGTGGAGGGCAGGGCACGTCATTTTCACCTACAGGCTCCTGGCCCCTGGCTCTCCCACTGCTCTTTTCTCCCCCAAGTGCCCCCACTGCCTCCTGTTGCTCATCATTTGTCTATTCCACCCCAGCACCCAGGATCTCTGACATCCTGAGCTCGGTGAGGAGGGGTTCAGGGACCCTGGAAGCTGAGGGGCCCCAGCCCTGCCTGTCTCCGACTCTCCTAGGCCCTTTGCCCACCCTATGTAAGTAGCCACCTCAGGCCTGCTGCCCTGCTGCTGGGGGCTTCCTGCGAATGGCCTGGTAGAAGAACAGCTTCCTTGCACCCCTGCACCCCCTGCAGGCAGAGCTGTGTGGGCATCTGGTGTGGCATCCTGTGCTAACTCGGGCGGGGGTGGAGCACCCCGGCTTCTTTCCAGGGTCTCAGCACCCCCATGCTCACATCTCACCTACTACATTCATCCCCAAACCCTATAGCTGGCACCTTCAGCCTTTCAGCCCAAAACCACCACCACCACCACCACCCTCACCCAGGGCCCATCCCCATAGCCCAGGGGCAAATGAGGACCCTCCTGGGGTCTACCATCAGAGCAGCTGGCCAGGCCCACAATTGAGGCTGCTGGACTCCATCCCAGAGTCTAGTCTAGGCAAGTCTTCAGGTGCCCTTCAACCATGAGGTGCCCCATCCCTGTGTGGAGGGCTCCTGATGTGAAGCTCCCTTCCACACAGTCATCAGAAGCAGAGGAAGGTGTCTGTGACCTGACCATACCCAGGGCCCAAGGACTCATGGCCAAGCAATTATTACAGAGAGATATTTCCATGCTCACAGCCCTGCTTATTTAAAAGGCATGTCCTAAATGGGCTGTCCATCTGGGGCTGAAACCATTTGTTCTTGGTTACATTCTTCCATTCATTCATATGTCCATCTATCAAGCCCTTGCCTAATCCTGTTGTGAGCAGGAGTGTCCTCTGTCCCTTTTGGGCCAGGTTGCCACTTCTCAGAGAGCCACCTTCTGCCTAAAGCAGCTTTCAACACCACCTCCACAAACAGGTGCATGCTCATTCTTGAAGCCTCCCTCATTCCCATTGCCCTTCTGTTCCCCCTATATCCCCATTCTACCCTCAAATGTCTCTGTGTCTCCTCATGTCCCCTGTGTCTCTCCACTACCCCTCCATCTCCCATGTTTCTCCACATCTCCATCATGTCCTCTCAAACCAAAAAACCAGACTCATTGCCATGGAGTTGATTCAGACTCATAGCGACCCCCATTGGGTTTCCAAGGCTATAAATCTTTACAGAAGTAGATTGCCCATGTTCCTTTTGTGGAGTGGCTGTTGGATTTGAACCACTAATTTTCTGGTTAGCAGTCAAATGCTTTATCCACTATACCACCAGAGCACCTTACCATGCCCTCTACATCCCCCCAAATTCACCCACAAACTCTCCCATACTCTCCCATTCCATTTCCCATGGCCCCCTATGCTCCTTTACATCCCCAAACCTTCCTACCAACTCTTCCATTCTCTCCCCTTCCATCCCCCATGATCACCACATCCCCCAACAAACCCCTGTATCTTCTTCCTTCTCCTATAGCCCCCAGTGCTCTCCCACATCCCCTCACCCTCTATAAACTGCTGCATCCTCTCTCTTTTCTTACAGCCCTCATGTGCCTCTACATCCCCTAAAATCCCCCCCAAAAAAATCTCCATCATCCTCTCCCCTTCCTTCTCCCATAGCCCCCCCTTACTTCCCCACATTCCCTAAATACCCCCACAAACATCTTCATTTTCTCCCCTTCTAGCCCCTTCATTCCCCTACATCTGTTCCCTCAGAGTCCCCACAAATTCCCCCACAAATTCTTTCATCCTCTCGCCTTCCTTCCTCATCCTCACATGCCCTCATCCCCCTATGTCCTGCACACTCTTCCCCCACCCCCACTTCTTCAGGCTTGGCTTGCAAGCCAGAGTTTCTCCCTTGCGTGCCCTACTTACCTGCCTTGTGCTCACCTCACCATCCGTCTGTTCTGCCCCAGCCCCCAGGATTTCTGACATCCTGAGTTCAGTGAGGAGGGGCTTAGGGACCCTGGAAGCCGAGGGTCCCCCACCAGTCGGGCCCCCACCCTGCCCGTTTCCGACTCTCCTAGGCCCCCTGCCTGCCCTGTGTAAGTAACTGTCTGAAGGGGCTGCTGCTGCTTTTCATATTCACACTGATGCCAGAGACCCCTTGCTGTGTGGGCTACATGGGTGTGTGTGCCCAAAGCCTGGGTTAGAAGCAGCCGGTTTGGGGGTACAGGAAACCAGAGGGGGGCAAAGGGTCCCTTTATTGTGTCACAGTATATTAGATTGAACCATATAAAAATGCCATTTGGTGTCAGAAAATCAAAATTGTTAGAAGTGTACGTGTGTGTGTGTGTGTGTGTGTCTGTGTGTACACATATAAATCACCTGTGTAAGGAGAGAAACTCAAAAAGCAAGGGCTTGTAGCAAAACTACAGCTCCTCCTGTTATGTGGCACCTAGATTTCTCTGGGTGAAAAATGGGATAAGCAGTAATCACCATGAGCATGAGAGTGGCCCTCCCTTTTACAGCTTGGTTTTCATAGCAACAAGGTGATATGAGCCAGCAAACTGTGAAGTACTGGCTTGGCGACCCTGTCCTGTGAGACACACCCAGGGATCTGAGGGATACCTATTTGAATGGGGCCAGTCTCCTGGACCTGGGAAGGTGGGGCCACAGTTGGGACAGTGGGGAGCCAGTGGGGCAATGGGAGGTGCAGAGGTAGCCATGACTGGAGCCAGTGAGCTTCAGGTCTGCTGGCCTTGAAGCTGGGAGGAGCCAGTGTGGTTCCAGAGCACTGTGTATCACTTACAGGGATGGATGACATCTCAGGGCTACACCCTTTCCTTCCACCCCCACTGCTGTTGGGGGGGGGGTGGACACTTGGGTCTGGGAGGCAGTGCTGTAATACTCCCCGAGAAGAGGCTGCTGGGCCCAGGGCAGGTGGATGCCAGGGCAGAGGGGCACAGAATGGCCGGGGCGTGGCTGGGTGAGTACATAGGGCCCCTGGGACTCTGTCTGGACCCTAGGCCAGAACTCACCCTGCTGAGGTGACTAGCAGGGGTGATAGGAGACTGTGAAGCTCCTAGTACACTGCAGAGAGGGGAGCAGCTGGACACAGCCTGCAGGTGTTAGGGGGGTATCTGCTGTGGGATTGGGTGAGGGACTGGAGGTGAGCTGCTAAGAGGCTGACAGTGGAGGAATGGGGTACAGCCTGGGGGCAGTGGGCTGTGGGGCCAACTAAGCCTCTGTGGTGGGTCAGGAAATCTTCCTGTCCAGTTTTAAAATGTTCCCTTACCTATCACTCCCAGGCCTTCTTGCCCCTGC